ACCTATTGATGCAAGCCACGTCTCATGTTGAATATACTTAGTTTGCCCTTTGCGGACTAAATTGTTGTATTAGGATTCTCCTTATATGAGCATGTATAAAGGTTGGAAATTTCAAACACAAATGAAAATGCAAAACCAAAAATGAAACTGAATTCTTATAATTACGGAAATATGGGTTGGTGGTTGAAAAAAAATATCAAAGTTATAGACATGTAAATCAAATATGAAATTCTGAATTGTCTGCATGAACCACCTACACCAAGTGTTTTGCCAGATGACCAAGACTTGAGTGATACAAAATTAATTGTATATGAAATAGTTTATGTTTGGGTTGGCTTTAGAAACCTTCTAAATTCATGTTTATTTAAAAGTTATATATTTTTTTTTTATTTTTATGTTTTGAAAATTAAAATTTCACGATGATTCAAATGGTTTCTCAAACATTTATAATAATAATTTAATGGATATGCATTGAAAGTGGAAAAATATTTGGTAACAAATTAAAAATTAATTTTAGTATGAGTATGATTTTAAACTAATCATTATCAAATATTAACTTATTATTAGGTGGAAATCTCTATATATATATATATATATTTATTTATTTATTTATTTTTGCTATTAGTGCATATTTTTGTTTTCTTTAGTAACAATAACATTTTAATTGGAAGAATTTAGTCAAAATAGACCACCACTGTACAAGTATTTTTTTTCTTAATTTTTATGAATAGATATAAATTAAAGAAATATCAAAGAGTTGAAAGCCTGAAATATTGTTTAAATTTAAATCTGAAATGAATCCTAAATTTTTCATATTAAAATTATAGATTTAATTGAAAGTATTTAAAACAAATGAAATTAAAAGAGCAATAAACATATTAAAAAGTAATTAACGTATTATTAAAACTTAATTGAAAATTTAGAAAAGCTATAAGGATTTATATATTAATTAAACAAAAAAAAACACTATTTATTCTTTTTTTTCTTGTAATTGTGTGGTGTGTGAGATAGGAGGTAGTTTTTTTTTTTTTGGTAAAATATGAAAGATAAACAAAGCAAACAACTCAAGACATAGAGTCTCTCCCTAAAGGAAGTAAAATAAAGTCTGGAGGACTCCTCCAAAATACATTGGAACCTAAGTTCCCTACACCCCAAGTAGCAAGCGTATGAGCTACTAAATTAATCTCTCGAGGAATATGACTTACGTAAACTACCCAATCCCGAGCAAGAAGTTGCTGAACACGACAAATAACATCATAATGCTTGTGCAGGTAATCTCTGTCTGTTGGCCGATCTTGAAACAACTTTACAGCTCCCAGGCAATCACTTTCACAAATCACCATCTGAAAACCACCATCCCAACAAAACACTAGGCCCTCCTCCAAGGCCAACAACTCAGCACGTAACGCATCCCCATGTAAGACTCCACGCGAAAAGCCCCCCGCCACATACCTGCCTAATCACGGATGACTCCACCCATTCCCATAGCAGACGTCTCCCTCAACCAACTTCCGTCCGTGTTAAGCTTGACCCACGGGTGCTCCGGAGGCCTCCAAAGGGTTGGTCCTCCCATTGGCACCTCCTAACGTTATACACACTGTGCTCCACCATGGATAATATCACCTTCCGACGGACCACCGAAATTGGCCAGAGGTCATCGTTAAATACCATGTTATTCCTAAAACACCAGACCCACCACAAGGTGATGGATAACGTAATAGCATCCTTGTGCAAGATGATCCCCTTCAGCCACTGAAAACAATCCATTTCATAAAATGACCAACCCACACTACACCCACCAGACATCAGCACCTCTCGCGAATATGGGCAATCCCGAAGAGCATGTAGAATGGTCTCATGAGGGCAAGAGCAACGCGAGCATGCACCTGACTCTGCCAACCTCCTGTCAACCCGAACCTGATTCGTTGGGAGGGCTGAGTGAAGGCATTGCCATAGAAAGAACTTAACCTTCTCAGGAATCATAACCCTCCAAAGCTTCTTCCAAACAGCATCCCCCTCCGCAGCCAGCCCCCGGGTTAGAAAACGATACCCAGATGCCGCTGTGTAGCAACCTGAGATATCACCCCTCCAAGCAAAATGATCCCTCCCAAAAGGGGAATTGCCAACACTCAACTGTTGGACAGAATTTATCAGTTCAGTTGGAAGAACCGTATACAAGGCATTGAAGCTCCAATCTCCACTAACCCAGCAGTCGGCAACCGTTTTGTTGGTATCCGCGATATGAACAAAGGGGACTTTCCCGCACCAAAGCCCATTACCTGACCAGTCCTTGTACCAAAGTGATGAGTCTCCCGATCCTAGATGAGGCTTGAATCCCTCCCGGAGTGAGGGAAGGGCCTTAAGAATACTCGACCAGACTGAAGAAACACCCCGCTTGTGTTGAGCACTCAGGACAGAAGCTCCATGTAGGTAGAGGTTGCTGAGGAGTTGAACCCAAGGCTTCTGTGGAGCCGAAAGCAGGTCCCAAGCTAGCTTCCCCAGGAGTGATACATTCACCCTGCGCCTCTCTAGTTTAAGATAAAGTTAATTACTTTTGTATTTTTAATTTAAAATATATATATATATATATATATATATATATATATATATATATTAATGTGTCATGTGTACAAGTTATATTAGATATTAATGAGAAAGGTTTTGTTAAAAAGATTATAGTGAAATTCGGTTATATATTAACTGTGAAGTTTTTAAACGATGAATGTTTCAAACATTATTATGTTGTACTTTAATTTACTAAATTTTGTGAATTTAGTGAATCATTATCCAGAAATTTCTTCCAGTCACATCTTTATAAAAGTAATTATAAATATGCTTGTTAATCTTAGGAGCTCTTTTTCGGAAAGATTGCATTTATTTCAAAATTCATCTCTTCATATTCAAATTCCTTTATTTGTTGATACTTTAGCCACACACATTGTGATTTTCAGATAAGACTTTTAACCTTCCACTATTAAAAAAAAAAAAAAAAAAGAACATAAATGAGATTGAGTTAGATTAAATTTGAAAATTAAAACTCATTACTTAACCTATATACAAATAAATTAAATTAGTTTGAGTTAATTTGAATTCACACATTATGAGAGCTTTTGGGAACTACTAGAAAAGCGTATTCTTTTATTTTAACATTTGCGTGTCTTTATCACAGTCCAAAAACAAATCTGTGTATTATTAAAACTGACCCGAAGTTTATGAAGAAATTATAGATAATTATTTTCTATGATAAAATTATTCAATTTAATTTACTTATTCTATTCTCACTTAAAATAAATTTATTTTAATGATTAAATTATTTAAGCAGTTTAAAGTATTTAGATGAGCATCTTAATTATAATAAATTTGAAACTAATAGCAATTTTTTCTCCTAGAACCGAGCATTAAAATGTTGTAATTTGTCATACAATCTGTTATTTTTTAATTTATTGTACATTTAAATTTGAACATTTCTTTTGATGTCTCCATTTATTTCCCTTCCCTCCTTCCTATTTATTATCCATTTAATTTTAACCAAAGCAAAGCAGTGGTGAGAAGTTGATGAGTTTATGGTTACTGGAAAACATAATTGAAATTCCCAATCTAGTGATTTGTTTTTTAGCCGGCCCATGCGAGGGAGCTTGCATTTTTTATGAATGGAAAATGGGGAGTGGACATTGATTTACGGCTGATATAAAATCGAAAGGTTCCTAATTGCAGAAATATGTATCTTTCACAGCATATTTTAATCACATAATCAGAACAAAAAACACAGATCCTACAGTATCTGACCTTTTGGAGGTACCACAGTATGGAGCAACAAGCATCTGTTGACAGGGGACACGTGGAGAAGTGGGACCCACTGCTGACTAACTCATTTTTTTATTAGAACCCAAATATCAAAGTAAAATGCTATTATGCCATACAGCTGGATGGTGTTTCCTTGCCTCTGCTTCACCCTTCACCACCTAACTTTGCCAAAACAACTCCTGCTTTGGCCCCACTTTTTGCATCTATGCCTACTCTTTTTTTTTTTTTTTTTAACTAAATTTTAACTCTATACATTTTTATTTAACTATGTTTATTTCTCTTTTATTAATATTTTCCTACTCTACTTATGCTTTTGCCTATTTGCCTTAGTTACGCCCACGGCCTGAAAGGCTGCAGTCTAAATAAATTATCAAAACTATTTTTTAATAACATCATGAATAGATATTTTAAAATATATCTTAATAATCCAAGAAGTGAGAACGTGAATCACATTCAATCCCCACATCTAAGACATTAACGTAGCCATCCAAGAATGCCGAAAGTTTGGTGTGTAAATCGCTCAACATTAATTGAATTTAGTACAAATGTTTCAAAATTAAATCCGCAGTTAAATATATGGATTTAAATTACAATATCAATAATAAAAAAATTGTTTTCAAATATTGAATAATACCTCAAATAATAATTTAATATAATAGAAAAATAATTAATTATATTTCATAGAAAACTAATAATAAAAAAAATGTTTTCAAATATTAAATAATACGTCAAATAATAATTTAATATAATGGAAAAAATAATTAATTAAATCATTATATTTCATAGAAAACTAATAAATGAATTATTTAACAATTAATAAGTAATGAAATTCACATCCAATTACCTGCTTATTTTTAAAAAAAAATTCAAAATACAAATATAATTAATGAACAAAAAGTCAACGCTACCCCGTAACTTTTCATGATTAGAATTGTTATACTCTTTGAAAAATATTTAATTCTAATATATTGAACTAAAAATATCTTCATTTAATGATTTTAATGAGAAAAATTATAAAATATAAAAAAATATTATGAATCATGGAAAGTTTTATGTAACTGAATTAAAAATTGCAGAGCTCTTTTCTAATTCTAAAGCAACACTATTAATTCTTATTCTAAAGAGTTCATCCAGCCAATTTCGATCTGATAACTATGATGCATAACATAAAACGAGTGTTCATCACTCATCAGCAATTTGTGTATAAAAATAATAGCAATAGTTTAAAGACTAATAATTTATGTTCTTCAATAAGACACAACCGAAGACAAAACATAGAAGATATTTTCACTAATACTCTGCCATAGAAGAACCTTTGAAATTACGACATAGTATATGGTTCAAGATCCCTTGGACGGCTCTTAACAGCACGGGAAAACCCAAGGGATTCTCTTTCCATCTCACTGCTCTAAGTAAGACTCGACAAATCCCTCAAAAAACAAACGCATAAGAACACTCATTCAGGAATCGATTACACAGTTCCTGAGACATTACAAAATTATAACAGAACCTAACAACAACAAAACATGTAATAACTTAGAAATCTAGCAGCTCTGCAAAACTTAGGCACAAGGTATATTGAGGGGCTCCTCAATCCAACCAGCAAACTCATCAGCACCAAAATCACCAAAATCAAAATCAGGAAGCTCACTAGGCTCATTGTCATCAAACCCAAAAATGTGAAGATCTTCCAAGTCACCAAGATCATCAAAACCCTGTCCATAATCATCAAAGGATAACAAATCAAAATCAAGTGCAAAGTTAGGCTCAGATCCAGATGGACCACCAGCAGCAGGTGGTGGTGGCAAGTTCAACAGACTCAAATCTGGTATTTCTAACCCTGCAAGTTCAGCCACCAAATCAGTAGCTTCCTCAGTGAAAACAACATTATCCTTGTCAAAGGATTTAGAAGCCGAGGTATCCAACTCAAGTACGGAGGATGGTGATATGTGTGACAACACACTCTCGGACGAGTCCTCAGAAGTAGAAGTAGTAGAAAACTTCTCAGATACAGAGACAGCAGCAACAACAGAAGAGATGGTGGAGTTACTCTTATTAGAAGATGTCGCCAAAGGTCCATTATTAGCCAAAGCTTCAGTCTTTGCCCGAGTTTCATACTCGAACCTTTTGGCCTCGTAGGCTTGGGAAGCCGCTTCTTCAGTATCGAAAGTGCCTAACCATACACGACCACCCTTAAAGGGGTCACGAATCTCAGCAGCCCATTTACCCCATTTCCTCTGCCTAACACCTTTAGGTTTCCCAGAAGGCCTCTTCTTAGTTGACTGGGTTTGGAACAAAGCCCTCTTCTTACTTTGGGGCTCCCCTTCAATACAAACATTTTTGTTGCTATTCACCTCACAGGAACTCGTTTCTGCTGTGGTGAATATTCGAGGAAGAGGGGGAAGAGAGATCTCACACACTCTTCTTTTTGCCTTTACCGGGTTTTGAAGCCTCTCCGACTCATCTTCGGATGAGTCGGTAGCATCTGGATCGTTGTAAAATATGCGAAGTTTTCTCATCGGTTTGGACTCTTGCTGAAGCTTTTGCTTCCCTCTAGAAGCCGGTTGTTTCCGAGGGTCAGGCATGGTGGAAAAAAATTCAGGAAAAACCCTCCCAAAACCCCTCAAAATACCCAGGAAACTGTGAAGGAAAACAAATCGAATCAAGGAAGGAAAAGGAAATGAACGCCAACCAAAAGAGGGTAACAAAATCTCTCAAGGCTCTATCAGGTGAAATCCCCTCTTAGGAATATGAAAAGATGCGAAAATCTTTGTATGTGAAAACCTCCGAAACACTCCACTCCGCAACAAGTCCTGTTCCAGAACAAAAAAAAAACATAAACTTTAGAGCCACAACCCCAAAAAATAAGACATGGTCCAAAACAAAAAACATAAAGAACAGAAGAAATATTGAAGATGAAAAGAGATACCAACCTTTTTGGCCTCAATCGCATTGAAACAAGTGGATTCACAGTATTGTGGTTGAGAATGCAGTGAAGCATACAGCAATCGGAGCACACAAAGAGAGTCAAGGAGAAAGAAAAGCAAACATAAATAATGGAGCGTTTCAACTGAGCCCCAATCACTGCCAGAATAAACCCAGACGACATAAATCCACTGCTTGCCCTTCTTTTGAAGACAAATTCTCCGAGAAACGCAGAAAGCAAGCGCTTAGCTCTTATCTGCTCTCTCACCTCTTCACTCGTCCACCAGGAGAGAAAAGAGTATCAACAAGTGAAACACACTGATATATATTAAAAAACAAAACCACTATGGCTGAAGTCCTCCTGAGAAAGAAAAAAAACAAAAGGATTACAAATCTATGGCCAATATTTTATCTATCCTCTCTGGTACAACACACAAGAGTTTTTATCGATCTCAAAACCCTTCCCTGTGACTTTAGTGAACCAAATCAATAAATACAGAAAGGAAAAAAAAAATAGCCGACCTCGGTACGACACAACACACGGAGTGAAACCGACGCAAATCTCTATACAACAAAAACAGACCGAAAGTTTAATTTATTTATTTTAAATTAATATTTGACAAAAGGCCATTACAAGAGCACTAATAATAATAAATTAGTGATTTAATGAATGAGTTTCTCGAGGAGAAAAAAAAAATTGAACGGAGAAGATTGAAACCACATAGCTCACAATGAAATTTACCTTGTTTTGTTTTCACTGAGAGGGGAGGAGGCTACTCTGTGCCTCTGTCTCTATCTGCGTTTGGCAGTGTTTCTTCTCTTCACAGTGAGTGGCCCCTCCCTTTGCTCTTTTCTATTCAGGCCTGAGCCATTTTTTTTATTTTTATTTTTTTATGGTGGGTCAAAAATTCACATTTAGAAAGAGTGAGTAGGTAAAACATATAATATTAATTACGCAAAGTTAATTTATTTCAATTATAACGTGTGAGCTGGCATGGGGCTGTGTGTGACATTTTATTCATGACCCATCAACATGTTACATGTATATCATGCCCCATCGATGCTTCCGAGGTATCCGATGTTTTTGTTTCTCCACGCGTGCATCTAACGTGCAGGTTGGACTCCGTTATGAGGATCCAATGAAGAGTGAGTCACACGCGCCTGGAGAGAGAGTGGGGAAAGAGGTCTCTACAAAGCAGCTTTTCGCGCCGCCAACGATGACTGACCGAAGGAACGCTTCAGTTGCTATACAATCATAACGGTTGCTGTTGGGAATGCCAATATAGGTACCCGGTCGCCGAGTAAAGTATATGTTTATTTAAAATATAAAAGGTAATGAAGGAAATAAAAAAAGATATAAAGTAAATGTATTTTTACTCTTATCTACTTTTTCTAAGGATTCTGTTTGATTTTCCAAAATATTTTTACTTTTTTTTGTTTCATTTGTTTAAACACTTTTTATGTTTTATTTAGGGGAGGAGAACATGAGAATTCGTCTGAATTAATTTCATAAAAAATAAAACAGAATAAAGTATAATTAATTATACTATATTAAACGCGAATCTTTATAATATTTTTATAAATTATTATTTGATGAAATGTTTTTTTAATTTAATCTCTTGTTTTATTCAATTTTTATATATTTATTTATAAGTTAATTTTAAAGTTTTTAAACAAATTATTAATAATTAAAATAATTTTATATTATAATATAAAATATTTCTTCAAATAAAATAATTTATTTATAATTATAGATACTCACTTTATAATTGTATGAAAATCCTCTGGTATTACAAAAAATCGTGGGACTCATTGTATATTCCTCTTAATTAACCTTAATAAACTTTGTAGAAGATGAGGAATCTAAAGAAATAAAAAAAAATAAGTGATTTTTTAAAATCCTTTCAAATTATTCTCCTCGCCTCAAATCACTTATCCCAAAACAAAGTGTTATTGTGTATGAAAAAATATATATTATTTTTTTAAATAAACAATAGCTTATATAATTAAACAGTTAGAAGAAATAAATTTCCATTTATCAAATAGTCTTATGGAAAAATTAAAAGAATATAGAATCAAAGAAAATATTTGATATATTGTGATTATAAGAATGTTATAATTATTTATTTTTTAAATTGCACACAAATTTTTTTATTGTTATTGGAGTATATAGTGTAGAATTTATTAAATAATAAAAGTGATTGACGTAGAAAAAGTGTAAGCGTGGTAAATCGTATATTATCAATAAATATATTAAATACAATTTTTTGTTTTACTCAATAATATTTTTAAGGAGACTTTATTTTAATTAGAGTATTTTTATAATTTTTTAAAATTTTTTATATTATTTAATCTTATTTAAGTTAAATTATATATTTAGTTTCTCTGTTTTAAAATAAAGACATTTAATATTTCAAAATTTAAGTAATATAATATTTAAAAACCAAAAAAAAAAATTAAGAAAAAACACATACAAATAAAGTGACCAAAATTACACAAACGCGTGCGCACATACTAACATATATATATATATATCAAAAATACAATTTAACCTTTTATTTATTATATTTATTTGTGACTTAAATTTTGATATTTTTAAAGTAATTATTATGAAATGTTTTGTAAGGAAATTTTTATTTATTATGTTTATCAATAAATTAAAATTTAAAATATTTAAAATAAATTTATCAATAATTCAAAATAGTATTATATCACAATATAAATTAATTATTATAAAAATTCTAAAATATAATTTGTATATTTAAAAAATATATATTTATATAAATGAAATATAATTTA